TCAATCGATACAACATTCCGAAAAATCCCTCAATGAAAGGTAATTAGTCTTGAGATTGATATCAGAACTTGGAAAAATAGGATAGATTTGAAACGCTTCGTCTTCGATGTCAGCATGGATGCCTAATTTCTGGCCGTTGTAAACCGGATATATTTCATCAAGGTCTTGGTGCATTTCAAAAATATTGTTCCATGTATAATGGAATAATAGAGGACATTTGAATGACTTTTTTGCAAGAGTTTTGTGTATTCGTAAGAACCGGTCGAAATCAGTTTCATAGTATGCTTTGGCGTCAGAACATTCAACCATTTCCCTTTCGAACCCTCGAATTCGATCTGAATACCATAAATTATAAAGGTTTTCAGCTGCAGCTTGGACGATATTATCAGGAATGCTCTCCAATAATATTATGTTGGTGAGAAGTTCAGCACTCAAGTAAGAAAAGCAACGGGTGACGATTCCACGTGGTAAAGTATCTAGGTTCATTATTCAACTTAGAAGTTACAGGTCTGCAAATGATAGTGCGTATCATGCACTCCGCCGCATCACATGCGGTGCAATACTTCCACACCAAATTTGACAGTCACTCACCCCACTAACGTAAAACTTGCTCAATTAAACTCGTTCTCCGGACTTATCGAAACTCTCCATCAATCAGGCCTGAGTATCTACACTAGTTAGAACTTCAAGACAACATATATGCTTGCGTGCAGGTTGTCGCTTGAGTCGCACCTCAAATGGCTGCAAATACGATTAATGAAGGAAATCTGACTAGGTGCTGTGTAGATACTCAAGCCTGGTAAAAACAACTGGAGTTGAGAATATACAATGTAAGACTTTTCAAAAATCTCATTTTCCACTTGTTTGCATTTTTTGAAAATTTCGCAATAGTTTCGAAAATCGATTAAAATGGTGGTGGTGAAAACTTGGAAGTCTGTATTGAATTGGCTACTAATTTTTATGCTTGCTGATCCGTGCCATTGTAATTGAGAGTCTTTTTCACTACGGTGTTAAAGTATAATACGTTTCAGATCAAGAAGTCGACTTATTGTATAATCGTGTTTTGGTCACTTCACAATCTGATCCTCCAATAACGATTTACAAAAATAAATGAACGACGGGAGGAAAGTTATATGAGAGATTTGATATTAGTTGAGAGAGAAACAGTTTACGATCGAAATTAGCCTCTAGTCAAAACCTAAATCTTTCTCAACATTAAAGAACACTATACCTACTTACTGAAAATTTATACCATTGAACTCTCTGCTATTATAATTACTTCTCTGCATTTTTCTGTTTAGCATCAATTTGCACAATTTCATTAATATCCAAGGTATCAATCTGATACTTTTTGAAATCTCTCGCCTTGACCTTTCTGATGAACATAATTCCCAATTCTTCATAAGTTCTTCCTGCTGGTTCAGGTAATCTGAAATAAGCCCACGTAAAGGCTACAGCAATTATTCCAACTTGAAAAAAACCAACCTTACCCTTCCAATTACCTTCGGATTGGTTTAACATGTAAGGGTAGATCACACTGTTCACAATGGACCAAACATGAAACAAGTTTCTTGAAATACCAATAGTTTTCGCTCTTAATCTGGTAGATGACATTTCACTCGCAAGTGAGAAAGCAATTGGTCCAATAGTCATATCATAAAAGAACACTGCAACAAACAATAATGAAGCTGTTCCCCATTTGACACTCAGATTAGAAGGTGGAGCCAAAGAGATAAACCCCATAATCAAGAACGAGAGTCCACAAAGTCCTAGTCCAAGCAAATAGAGGGTTCTTCTTCCAAAGTTTCGTGCCAACAAAACCCATGAAATGACGGTTCCAACAAACCCAATAGCATATTGTACAATACCCAAAGTGAAGGCATTGCTATTGTCGATTCCTGCTTGTTCAAAAAAGTAAACTGCAAAGGACATCACATTACCAAGTGTAACACTTTGAATCATCAAACCAATGGCACTTATCTCAGTTCTTCGAAGATCAACTCCTCTAAAGCAATCCAAGTATGTAGCGCCAGCTTGAACTTCTTGTTCCATTTTCGTAGTATGAACCATGAATTCAATTGCATTGCTAATTTCGGAGTCAGATTTGTTTGTTACCAACCTTTTATACCCATTTTTTGCCCGGGTGATTTCTCCCTTTCTAACGAGCCACCATGGCGAGTCTGGGACAATTGCAAGTGGACCAACTAGCACCACGGGCCAAAACCACTGGACAGCAAAAGGGATCCTATATGACCAATTGAATGTTTTATTTGCAAGACCCTTTAGAACACCCTGCGAGATCAATTGGCCAATAATAAATGCAATATTGACATAAGTTGTCAAGTAACCTCTTAAAGCCACTGGACAAACCTCAGAGGCATACATGGGACCAATAACACCAAACACACCGTTGGGGAAACCCATTAATAATTGACCCACCAAAAGAACTTCTTTGGAATTTGCAAAAACAAGAATAAACGTAAACCCCACTGCAAACACAAACGATATTTGCATAAGCCGTTTATGGCCAATATAATCTACTGACCAACTGCCCAAAATAATTCCAAAAATATTACCAACACTATTCATCATTGAAAGTGCTGTTTGCCAAGAAGCAGTAAGGTCATACTCTCCATTCGATAAAAGCTGACCGTACTCTTTTTTAAAACTAGCAAATCCAAAAAGTGAACTCAAAAGTGTGATATTGTAACCATCCATAACGATAGTCAAGGAAACAATGATGGACCACATAACTGCTTTTTTGTATTCTTTGAGCGCTTGCATAAGCGTCAAGGAGTGTTCTTTGTCGGTGTGTTCATAGACATCCGCCAAAGTTTTGTCAAGGGCATCTTTTGATATTTCCTCAATAGCCTTACCATCACCTAAATAAACCAAGTCTGGACAACTACTCTCAATATCTTTAACTTCATTGTGCTCAATACTAACTTTCTGTGAACCCATAATGATGGCGGTGTAGAAGCTGGTGCCAAAGTCCGTGATTTATAGGCTCATAGAGCCGTCTTGGCTCAATTACTACAAGTGCTCTTTCTCCACTGCTCTCATTTTTTTTCGCAATTTACCCCAGTTTTCGCGATTTACGATGGCTGCGAAAAAAATTTCCCCACATTAGCTCTACTTCTCAGTATCTTTCGCAATTTCTTCATATCTATCCAATGGGAGTCTGTTGATGTTGCGAGAATAATTGAGAAGTGGAGTAATGTGGGGATCCTCATGTGGAGAAATATATAACGAATACGATCCACCTTAAGCCACTAAGATGCAATCCAACATTTTATCCAACGTTTGCAAAAAGAAAGATGCCAGAACTGGAAGAGTTTCCAGTTGGGACCATTCAGGAAAGAATGAAGATTCTTTTGTGATTTTGCCTGGCGAAGAAATTGAAATTGCTGATATTGAAGGTCCTGGAGCTATCACTCATCTTTGGTTTGTTCAAACCTGCTCAAGAGTGTTAGGACCTAATTGGGAAACTCGTGATGAGGATTTCTATAGAAAGGTACTCATTAAAATGTACTGGGACAACCAAAAACATCCTAGTGTTTTGGCTCCACTCGGAGACTTTTTTTGTGTTGGTAATTCTATGGTTTCCAACTTTCAGTCGTTGCCATTTACAGTCTCTGTCAAGCCAAGTCAAACCTTGAAATATGGTGGAGATGCTGCTATGAACTGTTATCTTACAATGCCATTCAACAAGAGAGCAAAGATTGTTATTGAAAACCAAAGTGAAAACGAGTACATTCAATATTTTTACATTGACTATGAACTTTACCGAAACCCAATGGAAGATATTCTTTACTTTCACTCGCATTGGCGCAGAACAGAAGTCACAGATGGATGGGGTCCCAACATTCAAGTGAACACTGATGATGTCAATATCACAAATCTAGATGGAAAAGACAATTATGTTGTTCTTGAAACTGAAGGTCAGGGCCAGTATATTGGTATGAACCATTCGGTAATTCACTTTCAAGATGTCTGGTGGGGAGAAGGTGACGATATGATCTGGGTGGATGACGACCCAGCATGGCCACCTAGTATCCATGGTACTGGTGGTGAGGATTACCTTGGACAAGGCTGGATGATGCAAAAGAATTCTTACCCATTTTGTGGAAGCATTATTCATGAAGATGATGTGCCCCAAAACCAAGTCAGTTATAGATGGCATTTGGTTGATCCGGTAAGATTTGAAAAGAGAATCAAGGTGACTCTCGAACACGGACATGCTAATCATTTGAGTGATGATTGGGCTAGTACAGCATATTGGTACCAAACTTTACCTGGACCAAAATTGGAAATTCCAGATGTTGAGAAAAGATTGGTGAGACGTCCAATTCTTCCAAGCCCTGAATTAAAGGCACCAGACTTAAACACTCTTCGTCCTGATGCTCGTGAAATGCATCTCAAGCAACAAGAAAAGTTGAAAGCATTTCCTTGAAAAGAGAAAGAGCGAGGCAGAAAGACGTGCCAAGGACTCAAAGGAAAGGGCATTGAAGAATAAGGAAATCGCTGCAGAAGTAAGATCCAGATTCATGAGTAGCTCGAAAAATTGATTATATTGACCCTAGTAGTCCTCAATCAAACATTAAAATCACCTGTAGCTTCATAGAAGACACTATAAGACAGCATCGGCGACCATCTGTCAACTCTTGAGTTAGCCTCTTCCTCTATGTATTCATTTTCATCAAGCATTTGCACCTTCATCGGATCACCAAATTTAAAAGAATTAGTCCACAGCCACTGTGATATTTGGTGCAATTTTTGCTGTAAAACACTGGGGATAAAATTGCTATTCAGGTTTAGGCGTGAGATTATCTCCAAAACAGACGTCAAAGCATTATACCCAATGCTGAAATTATTTTCGTTTATAGCATCGCTCAAACTTTCGGCCACAGTTAACAATTTTGTTGTCACACACGGTCCATTGGTTTCAAAAGCGTAGAAAGGTACGGTTTGAGTGGTCTCCAAAAGATCCCTTGCAATCTGTATAGGGTAATTTGTGCTGAAGCAGTCATTCGGTAAGCGGTTTGGGAATTCCTTCTCATTGCAAAAATTCCAAACGAGCAGCTGCATCCAGCTCTTGCTCAACAAGATATTCACTTTTTGAATTTCTGAAGAATTCTCTCCGATTCTTATTTTATAGAGCTCGTCTTGAATTCCAGGAATCATTTTTACTGAAATGTTACAGTTGAACCTCTTCATGAAAAAAGATTTATCAGGTAAGGCAAATACCTTTACAATCTGAGACAAATCACCAACTGAGCTTTGTTCATAGGGAAGACTCGCATCCAAAAGAACTGAAAAATCGGCTTCAAGACTTGTGAATCTTTCAGCAACTACAAGAATGTAGTAAATGTTTCTGAGCCGATGCTTTTCCTCTCGTGGCTTATTTGAGTATTTTGTGATATCGTGTAAGCCAAGCAACTCAGCAATGGCAATGGCTTCTTTCAAATACAAAATTGCCGACGTATTCAGTTTTGCACTGGAATAGTATACGTGAAGGAAAAACGATACCAATACAGATTCTATGGTTGGGTTCGATCTGTAGTCGCAAAAATTGCGTGCTCTCAAACACTCAGATATAAAATCCGCCGAAGATACATTATTAGGAACCTCAAAAATCTTTTCCAGAGGTGAAAGGCAGTCAATATGTTGCTTCAAAGCACCAGCGAGTGCACAGCACAACGCATAAGACTGAATATTTTGATGATTAACGTCCAACTCACACAAGTCCTTCCTAGAAACACTAGACGTGAGTTGGGCAACCGATACAATCGGCCAAATCTCATAAAACCAAGTTTGGTATACTTGAAAAAATGGAATTAATTCAGCGAGCATCACCTGAGGTTGAAAATTGTAAATAGTCACCTCTTCCAGATTCTCCGAGAGATTGTATCTTCGATAAATGCTCTCCATTGTTTTTGGTCTTACATTCTTTGGTCCTTTTTTTCTTCTTCCCCGATCGTTCGTACAAGGTAAGTTATGCCTTATACAATTTGGACAAGGTATAACATTACCGCATTTGACTCTTCTTATGGAGCAGTTATCACAAGGTCGTCCATATTTTGGTCTGGTTTTTATATTCTTTTGGTTTACCATATTATTGTAAGTTGCAATTTTCCCCATAATTTCGTAAACGCACCCCAGATCTGTCCGATGCAGGAAAACGCTATATTTGGGGCTGCTTCATTGATTGCAAAAAGGGTCTGAGTGGTTATTTCGTTTGAAGGTACTTGATGCTATTCACGTCGCTTTCAAAACTCGAGGTGAATTTATTGGCTTGATAAACTTTCAAATTTTCATATGGCGATTTTGAAGTCGAAAATTGTACGTACTTTAATCTGCAAATTCGGAGCTTTACCTAGTATGTGGATTTCATAATTGACTTCGGGCTTTTCTATGAGATTCATATACAGTTCTAACGAGTACAGGTTTTACTTGGAGAGCTGTTGCTTACTTCTAGATCTTACCAAAAGCTGCAAATTTGTTGTCCTCCTCTAGGCGAAATTTTCTGCAGTGATAAGATTTGAATTCTGTTGCGAAAATATACGATTACAGTCCAAATGTTGTCACATACTGCTCTGATTCCGAGAGCACTTGCTGTATCCTTACTTTGAAAAATCTGACTTGTCAATAAACCCTACGATCACGATAATTGTACCTGATCTTCAAAGCTAGGATTCCGGACTCGCCAAGGCAACAATTGATAACTTTGCCAATTGAGCTTGAATTGATTGACTCCGGTGTCCTACCAAACGCCATGGCGGCATCTGGGGAAGCTCTAGCTGATATTCTGGGTCTGATGAATAGCTCTAAAAATGTCTGTACCAGGATGCCTGTGAAATCCTTCGATTTCATGCTGCGTATAGTTATCTAAAATCTGAAAATTGGGTGGCATATTCGAGACGTCAACCACTTCAAACTTCATTCCTAGACGTAGTTGTGTGAGCTTCTCAGCTCCAATTAAATCAAATGAGAACTCTGTAAGTCCAAACTCCAGGAGATTGAGAACTCTTAGTTCCAGATCCTTAGGTACCGCAAGACTTGAAAGTCTTGGATTCACATTGAGGTTTAGTATCTCAATATGGGACTTGACTTTTAATGATTGAAATTCGTTAAATCCCAAGTCTAGAAATGTAACTGATGGTGGAATGGTGAAATCATCTATATTTTGCAACTTATTTTCAAACAAGTCTAGTGATTCCAAACCCGGAGGGAGCTCAATCATTCTGTCGTTGATTATGCCCAATTTAGAGTTGTTGAAGCTTAATACTTTCAATTTTGATCCTTTGGCAAATTTGACTCCACTCATACCTGACAAGTTCAATGCTGCGAGGTGGAGTTCACTTAATGATGATGGAAATGTGTAGTTGTTTTGAAGAGCTATCTTTCCAGCCATCGTAAGGTCTAAACGCCTGATACTAGAAGGCAACTCTGGTATCTGGGAGACATATAGCCTATTGTAACTGAGAATAAGGACTTTAAGGCGATTTGGAAGTGTGGGAAATGAAGTCAAAAGATTCTCACTCAAGTCAATATGCTCAAGAACGGGAGCTTCAATTTGGACACTCCTTATATAATTGCCGCTCAAACACAAGAATTCACAGCAAGGAAGAACGGCATGGAAAGACGAAAGCTTGTTACTTGCAAGTGAAAGTCTTTTCAATTGGGCTGGTATCAGCCAGCCGACTGTCAGCTTAATGTCACAATTCAATAACTCGAGGTCAACTAATTTAGCGGGAAAATCGACTTTGGCGAAGTCTTTGAACTTGGCAAGAGAAATCGAAAGTTTGAGCAAGTTGGGCGGAAACTTTAAATTCTCGATCTCACCAGTTGGTTCGAATAACTTAAGGTTGAGCAATTTGGGCGGCAATTTGCAGCTGTTGATGTTACTCGATGGCTCCCATAATGTGAGGGAACTCAAATGGGTGAAAGCAATCAAATTTTCAAGGCTCGCACCATTTACGGAATATAATGAGCGTAGCAGCGTGGGAATGTTCGACGAAAATGATCCAGAGAATCCAAAATTTGAGACCTTGGGGCCAATCATGGAGACATTTCCATCCATATTTGTTGCATTTTCATCAATATACGAAAAGGTCTCCAAATTTCGTTCCAGAGTACTTTTAGTAGCGAGGAGATAATCGGCTGGTACCTTTTGTGTTTTCTAGAACCAACACCGTGAGAGATGCTAGTTTTGGGTGGTCTTCGTTCATTCTTATCTTGCAGTTTTTCGCTACCAACTTTGTCAAATTTATCGGTAATGTGCTGAAAGTCATCCACTTGAGATATACGTTCTTCAAGC